TTTAACATTGTACAAATATTCCAATACAGTTATGGTACCTGAACACCATACCAAAAGCATGATCTTTATTAAACTGCTGATTTAATGGTCTTGCAAATGTTCCTATTTTAATATTCTCATGTTACTGTATGCATACCAGCAATGTAAAGTTTGTAGGAGCTTTCAGCTCAATTATACAAACAGCCTTGTAACATAGTGCTAAACATCGTAAAAAGAGTCATTAAAATACAATTCTACCTATCTTATTGAACAGACTGAAGAGGCTACAGAAGTCTCTTTTATCTAACCATCATAATGAGAAATCAAGATAAGCAATGTTCCTGGAAACCTGACAAAGTTACTACATAAAATGAAAGCCCTTATTTATATTTGAGGAATCTAAGTTCCCCGCCACAATGCCTCTTTTTCTGGTCCCATGAAATGTATCCTGTTGTTAGTGTATAAAAGCCAACAAACTTGCACAGCATTTTCCTTAACTTACATGAAGTGCTCAGAACTACTTGAGTGTTTTACTGCTTACTTTAAAACTTCCAGAGGAGCACATTAAATGCAATCTTTACAGTTCTATACGCTGTTCTGTTCTATCATTGATACATGCATAAAACATGTCCAAAGAGAAAGAAGCACCTTAATACAATAATACACCCACTGAAATTCTTAAGGTATAATTTCACTGCAGTGATGTACAGCTAGTCTACAGTAAGCTTACAGACAAGAGTTTATATTCATGACACCAACTGGCACACGTTTAACACCTAAGAGATTCTTCCTAGACTGATACACCCAACCAACAAAGGAGGCATAAGAATACTGAGGAGGTTCTTCAGGCATGAAAATCCATAATTACTTTTAATCAGTGCTTATGTTATATTACATTTTTATGGTATAGTCAGAAATGCTTAGTTATTAATTTCCTCAATTTACACTTTACTGTCATGAAATCCCCTACTGAATATAAAATATTTTAATCTTTAGCACTCATTTAAAAATTAACTCTTAATTCATCAGTATCTACTAATCCCACCTGTCATAGGTTTCAGACAAAGCACAAGTTATTAATTAATTTGTATTTCTGCTATGTTCAAGGTTCTAATATTTCAGCTATGTATTTTCCTTTTGACCTAAAGTCATTATTATCAAATATATCTTTAAATTGAGTCAACTATTGTTTTTCAAATTGCTTAAACTTTTAAGTTCCATTTTACAACATTAATATTTCTTTTGGAGGCTTTAAAAAAATTTCTCCTGGTATTTAAACCCTCCTTTCTATCAACACCTCTCTATTTTTACTACTATTAATGAGCAACATCTCTTAAGATGCATTATATGCTAATATACCCATTAAAATGTAAGTATGATATAAATATAATGAAAATTAAAGGGATTGAAATCACAGTAAAATAAAGCAAATTTATTGTCTGAGACTATTTAGTCTTATCTTTTAAAGTATCTATCTTGATCATTTAAACCCTGAGTATTTCATTGCTTCAAACTTGTAGACCTTTCCTGCTAATCTACCAATTTGAGAATAAAGAGTATAAAGTACTTATTATATGTTCCTATTAAGAACAGAATTACTTAAAGAATTATTTATCTTTCTACAAGGCCAACATAAATGCCCACTTATAGAATTTGGGCATTTTCCCACACTCAATGCCCCACTACTGATAAAAAAAAAATAGGAAAAAAAAAGTTCTTACCAACAATTCCACTGGTTATCGTCCCCAGCGAACCCCACCTAGCAAGTCGACATCATGACATGTCAGGTCAGGGCAGCCTCAACCTCGCTTCCCTGATAGTCAGGTGATAAAAGGAAGGAGTTAAAACAGGAAAAGTACACTTGCAGATTTCTGGATAACATCTGAAAATGATTAAAAAACAAAAACAAAACAAAAAACCCAGAGCTTCTGGTAACCTCTAAATAAAAAAAAAATATATGTATATTTTAAAAGAAAAAACACTCCCAGAAAGAGTAACAATAACTACTTCAAATTAAGTGTTTATATTTAAATTACTGACCTTTACATTAAATATGCAATATTTTTAAAGCTTGGTGTTTGCATTCCAAAACATAAGAACTAAGCAATAAATTTCTAATGGAAAAGTAAACATGCCTGGTTAATGGATTTGTCATTCTGGATTCTCTAGTCAGTCACCCAATCCACTAGCTTACTCAGAACTAAGTTAACAGAAGCTCTCATTCTTAGAGAAACATAAACACACTTATAAATCCAGTGCACTCTTTCTATAAGGCTTTTTCACAGCTGCTCACTTAAGAGACTTCGCAAAATAAAAGACATTAACATTTCTTCCACATACTTCAGTTGGTTTTCTTAATGAATACTGGATAGCTCAGTATAATAAAACTTTCTTTGTAAAATCAAAACCACAAATTTTAACATAATCGGCAGTCTTTATAATTGACAAGTAACAGCCTTATAGCAAGTATTTACTGGAAGGATTTGGTTTTACAAATAATACACAATTAATAAAATGTAGATATGATTATCCAAATGGGCAGGAGGCAAATGATGTAATGAGTTTCAAGAGTATTATATGGCTTTACACTAGGAATGGAATTTTATGTCCCTTCTCTTTTGGAATTTAAAATATGTATGTAATTTATTTTGATGCATGCTGACCTTTTTAAAAAGAGGGTTCGCCTCCTAAGTCAGATTTCAAAGTCAAATGAGAGAAAAATTATCTACTAACAGAAAGCATTGGGCTTTCTTATGCAGAATAACCCCAGTAACTAAAAAACTGAAAAATATTTATGCTGAACTCTTTTTTTTAAAAAAACTAACTACAGAACCATAGTAATTCAATTTCCATATCAATTGATCAAATAAACTTAAATTAGAAATCTGGCAACTTATTAGAACTTTTTTGCTTTTAAAAAATTAAAACACCGTCATATAAGTACATCATTTAAGCAACTGCTATAAATGAGTGATCAAATAAAAATTAGCATTCCATTTTGGGGAAGGGGTATATTTGTCAATCTCAGGTGGGTGCCTACAGAGAAGAGGTCTACTTGAATATAAAGTAAATATACTTCCCAACACACACATTACTGTAGCAGGCTCATAAATAAAACCAAATGAATTAGGTTGGGGAACAAAAAAGATGGCAGGAGGGCAGAAAATCAAATTTCCCAGAACTCATACTTTGTGCCTATTTAAAAAATCTTTAATGCAAATATAAAGACCTCCTTAAATTAACATTTTTTTAGGTTTACATATTAGATTGCTAGATTTATTTTTGTGAGAAGATGAGCTCTGAATCTATTTTCTCTAAATGCTGCTAAGGCAATAATTTACAAGACATCAACAAGGGGAAAGCTCTAAAGTGAGATTTAATATTTACAGTTATGTTCTTCTGTTAAATAGCCACAAAAAAACCTATAAAGTAATATTAGAGGAACATTTCTATAGATGAATAAAATATAATTTGCAATTAAAGAAAAGAATTTTGATTTGGAACCCAAGTTTTGTTCTTATGTTTTTGCTAAGGTTTATATTTTAGGATGGATGGGGGAAGCACAAGAAATTACTTTTCTATAATCACTTCTATTCCCAGTCCTAATTTTCTTCGTGACAACTTTGTAGTTGGTACCATCTAATTTTTAAGAAATATAAACAACGAATTTTATTTGTAGACCCTTTCTTCTCTCCAAGAAAAATCAGGGTTTTATTTATTTAGATTTACAGTTATAGTTTCAAATTGTATTTTCAAAGTTTAAAATCAGCATTTAAAGAATGTTTGGTGTCTTTACTTACACACATGGGCATTAAAAAAAGATGGATCTAAGCTTTACCAGATACCCATGTTGACTTGAAACTACTCTTAAAACAGACTACACAATTTATCGGTTTATAAAAACATAATAGTATTAATAATGCCCATTAACTTACTGTACTATATAATTAAGTGAACTTTTAAAGAGAAATGGGATATACTGACTTTCATCAGCAAATATTTTCTTACTTTAAATCAAGAGCTGCCATAAAACTCAAAACATGATCTAACCAAATTCACAAGGAATTAAGTGGGTAATGATTTTGAAATCCAACTGCTGTCATAATAGACACCAAACAGGAACAAAACACAAAATAAAGGTGTGTCCGTTATTCCCCAATGGCTTATTTTTATAATTTAAAAACATTTTAGACCCACCTAAGAACAAAACGAAAGGGAAAACTTTATGATAATTTAAAAGTGATCCAGACTTTTCTGTACTGTAAAGTCTGGATTCTTTCGTTCCTCTGATTCTCAAACAAAAAATTCATTCCGATAAATCACAATTTATAAAGGAAACAGGGAAATAGATGTTATGAATCGGCCAACAAAAACTTTAGCCATTAGGGATAGTTAAAAAAAATAAGAGGTATTAATAGAAAGTCAGATGTAAGTCTACTAGATATTTTTAAGCCTCTCTTAACAATCCTCGTGTTTCTCAAAGCAAATTTACATAGTAATAGAAAATTATATTCCTAACCAGTAACTGAAGTGCTATTTCCTATCACGTATACTAAAATTGAGTTCAGTACGCAGTGCAATTGACGCCACAGTACTAACATTTTTCCTGTTATATACATTCATTTATCCAGCAATAAAGTTTTCAGACAACAAATCATCCTTTATAGAAAGAAATGTGGGTCAAAATAAATTGCAGTCTGCTTCCCTAACCCCATTTTATTTAATGCAAATTATCCAATGCCTGCAAGAATATTCAAAAGCCTTTGAACCTGTTGTATAAAAATAAAGGACAAAATTTCAAAATCAGAAAAGACTATGAGAGAACACCAATCAATGAAGTGTTATTTGGAATAAATACTAGAATTTAGACTAATCCTCAGTCTGATAGCCACGATACATATTGGAATAGACTTTTGCATGAATTTGATCACTCACATAGGCAGTTATAGTTTGAAAACAATATTCCTTGCAAGGATTACGAATAAAATAATGTTTTAGGACACAATTGAATTTGAAATAGGTAATGTTTTGAATAGATTTTTGAGTTTTATTGAAATCTTACATGAACAAGAAATTGGAAATACAATCACATCAAAGAACAAATTGTCACGGCTTTGACGTTTAAGCCAAACAAATTTTGTAGGGCAGATTTCAAAAAGGTGTGAAGTTATAACAATTTAAAAACACAGTTAACCTACTTCTAGGAATGCAAAACATACAATCATAGGTTATTTTCAATACAAGAAAACTTAAATTGGTTTGCTTTAATTTCTTAAAACTACTAAGACAAAGCACTAGCTTGTATTTTTATTTACAGCATACTCCATACTCCTATGTAATCTATCTCAAATCCAAAAAATGAAACTGTCCAAAACCAAAGGTTCTGCAAAATCATGATTTAACAGTGTGCTCAGCTTGTTTTGAAGCTAAAATGAAGCCTGAAACGATAAAAGCATTGTAATCCCCAGAATAAGGGAACTCTGCAAGCCCAGTAATGTCCAAGAGCATTTATGAAAAGAGGAAAAAAATAAAAAGACTTGAGTATATACACAATAGTGATTTCTTCAGCCCAATACAAATGGCAGCAAATTGCTAAAGATGAAACAGTTAAGCCAATTTTTTTGAAGAATGTAGATCTAGAGCCAATCGTGTCTTGCCAATATCATTTTCAAGCCCTCACTTGTCTATTTCCACTGTTGCCCATAAGTATCCTGATAAAATTCCTGGTTGTCATTATTGTAACCATAGTTACCAGAATAGTCACCACCTTGCTGAAGCGGCTGCTGAGCGATGGGTTGGGAACCCCAGTTCTGTTGGTTGTTGGTCTGACGGCGCTTGGAATCAGGCTGGTTGTACCCATCTGCCTTTCTCTTGCCTCCTACATTGCCCCCACGATTGCCCCGAGCTCCACGAGAACCACGGCCTCTCTGTTGTTGTGCAGGACCCCCTCTGCCACCCCTAGAGCCTCTTGGTGGTCCCAAAGGTGCCCCCCTCTGTGAATAGCCAGCTCTACCTCTTGGAGGTGGTGCTCCCCGCCCCCTTGGTGGTGGTGGAGCACCTCGCCCTCCCCTTCCTCCTCCTCTTCCTCTTACTGCATAGCCATCATCATAGCCGTAGTAGGGATCTTCATAGCCTCCACGATAGTCGTGATAATCATAACCATAGTAATCGTCATAGTAATCTTCATAGCCATAGTAATCTGGAGGGTAGCCATATCCACCTCTCCCCCCACCACGACCCCGACCTCTAATTGGAGGTGGCATGCGAGGAGGAGGGTGATAGTAATAATCTTCATACCTAACAATAGAGGGAAGGGAGAAAAAGAAAAAACAAATTAGTTTACTTCAATACTCTTCTTGATTTTGTTTTATCAACCTGATTTCTTTTATCAAGTTATTCTCTGTTCAAAGGTATATTTGCTAAAATGCAGACTCACGCAGTGCTTCTGGAGGCCTGTCTAGCAGCTTGGCGCTCTTTCCTTTTCTTGTCTGGTGGCTTGGCTAAGACTATTTCAATCTCTTCCCCTTCTATTTCTTTGCCATTCATTTCATCCATGGCCTATACAAAATTAGAAAAATAAATTTATTTTACAAGCAACAGTATTTTAAAACATAACTACATAAACATATCTGTGCCTGTTAATACACGAATTAACAATTTCCTTAAATATTTTAATTTGCAAAAGATGAATCTAGCCACAAACCTTTCAGGATTCAAATTTTTAAATAATAAATACATGATATTCAACATGTAGTTCTTCTACTGTTCTTCCATAAAAAATTTTAAGGCTATTAAACACAAATGAGGTTACTGAATGAGGTCAGCAGTGAAATTCAACAAGAAACTGACCAAAAAAAAAAGCCTGGGTTTACCTTGCAATACTTAACCTGGAACATACTTTGCCTGAACAGTTAGAAGCACAGAGCCCAGGAAAGGCCTAGACTCAAGTACTCACGTGGAAAGCATTCTATGTTCTAGTCCTTTATTTATGTTGTTCCACCTAACAGCCTCTGCCATACTTCAAGTCTCAGGTAACTCAGTAACAAAATATCGCCTCCTCACCACAGCTTTTCTATTTCCCCATACAACTTTTTCCTCTCTGGACATACATAAATATTCTATCCATAATGAGTATTTAGTGATTTACAAATCTCTAGACAAAGATTAAGTCAGTCTAGATATTAATTTACCCCCCCTTTACCACCTTAGCTTTTGGCTAACTTCAGCTAAAGAAACTAAATGAGTCTTGGTATAAATAAAGAATAGAGAATCTACTCTTACCTGGCCATCCTGATTCCCAGATGTTGAGCTAAAAATTTTATGATTTCAGACTTCTCTGGCAACCACCCTACTGTTTTTTATGCAACCAGTAATTTAATACCAAGTGAATCAAAGGAATATTCAGAAGGTATAAATTTTATTAGTTATCTGTGTTTAACACCACTGGCAATTTAAGAAGGCAAACATTAAATTCTATATTATGCTGTGAATTTTATAAGCAATACTGTCTAATTAATTAATGCCATCAAAAAGCAAATCAATAAACTTTAACTAGTCAAAAATTCTTCTATAAGGTACATTTAAAACCTGTACCCTGGGCAGGAAACAAAAACTGCTCAACTAAGAGGTGGTACCACTCCATTGATAGAACATGTAGAAAAAGAACCAAGTCTGAGTCACTGAGGATTTTGGATCCATTTTCCCGGTTACATAAAAAGGCTTCTATTAGTATCCCCCCACCCCTGCAAAAGAGAGAACAAGAGGAAGAAGAACCTGGAAATTTTACCTATCAAAGATGGTGCTGATCCATTATCAACAGAAAGGAGCAATATTTAGGTTTTATGTTCTAGACACTGTATGAAAACACTTTTTTCACACTTTTCATTACGATCATCAAGGAATAAATCAATTATATCCAAGAAATACGTCTACTATCATCGAAACTGATAAAAGTCAAATACTATTAGAATTCTAAAATAAAGGTGAAACTATGAAGAACCATTACCTCAAAATACATCTACTGAATTAAATATGCTGTACTGTATGTAAAGTTATGTACACAGCTCAGTTTCTTTCAAAGGTCCACAAACCAAGGTAAACAAAGTAGTTTTAATACATTTGTTATCTGTTTAGTATTTATAGCAGCTAATTACTATGCCTGTAATATTCCAAGGCATGCTGCTATCAAAACTTAGGTTTGCAAAAACAACAGATTATAAAAATAACTTGCCTGACATCACAAACCTAGTTAGTAATGATTAGGCTTTGAAATACAGAGTCTTTCTTGTTATACTACCACTTTACAGAAATTATTAAAAGAAAGTTTCAGGGTTCAGCAAAGCTGAAAACTAATTTTATTTCTGTTTTTAAAGTCACTTTATGTATTTAGCAAGTTTAAACAGAATTCTAATATTAAGAACCAAAATTTCAAAATTTCTACCTTAACAGCTGCTCCTCTGTCTTCAAAATGAACAAATGCATAATCTTTCAACTTCTTCACTCTTTCGAGTTTTCCAAATTCAGAAAATGACTTTTCCAGTATTTCTTCTGTCACTGTAGTAGCCAAGTTTCTCACAAATAAAACTTTCACCTAATAGAACAAATATACAAAATTGGCATTGGCTACTTAACTTTAGCTCGTCTTAAAGTGTTGCTTCCTATCTTCACGGCATAGGTTTTTCTTCTCTAAAACATTAAGTGCTGTATAAAAACTACCAACGAAATGATTCTGATACTAGTTACCAATTTATATGAATTATTGGTTCCTTCTCCTGCCCTATCATTAAAGTACCTAACACTGTGAATAGGACCTTCAAGAAACCAACATATAATTATTACTAAATTAACTTACAAATTTAACATAGTCCCTAAGTTCCCGCTAAAAAAAGTTTTTCTCATTTTTTCCCCTACAACTGGATAAGGTGATTCTAAAGTTCGTATAAAAAAACAAGCAAGCAAGAATAGCCAGGAAAAAGATAAAAACAAAATTTAGAGACTAGCCCTACTAGATAAAACCAACTATAAAGCTTAAATCATTGAATTAGTGTAGTGTTAATCTGGATGAAGATAAAAGCTGTATCCATATCTCACAATATATACCAGGATATTCCAAACAGACCCCTTGCTTCCCAAAAAAAGGATGTCAGGGGGACTGAAAGTATTAAAAGAAAATAACGTTATAGAAAATTGTACTGGGAAAGGCTTCATGACTTAAAATCTATACTATAAAGGAGTGATGAGTTCAACTCCCCAAAATAAATGACTTCTACATGGAAAAAAATAACACAAGCAAGGTCAAAAAACAAACAACTTACACTACACTCCTTCTTTTACATCAGGGTCCCACAAAAATAAAAAACAGAAAAACTAAATAGAAAAATAGGCGAAATTCCTGATTACATAATTCATACAAAGCAGCACAAATGGCCCTTAAACATGGCCATGCCACTCTGAACGAGCCCGATCCCATCTGATCTTGGAAGCTTGGATGGGAGACCACCTAGGAAGACCAGGTGCTGTAGGTGTAAAAAATAAAAATAAAAAAATAAGGGACTGTAAGCTGACAAGGTCCTTGCAATCTGTGAGGTCGACCAAGGGTTGCCTCGCCTAAAAAAAAAACCAAAAAACAAAAAAAAACACTCATACATAATGAGAAGAAAAATCTTAATGGCTCTGAGATACCATTTGTTATCAGACTGTAATCTAAAAGTTCCACCATACACTATTTTGACAAGGATGAGGAGAAAAGAGGCCTCTTGTTTGCCAATAGGAGGGTAAAATGAGACACCTCCTACAGAGGGGAATCTTAAAAATAATAGATATACATTTACTCTTTGGCCACAACTCTATCCCTAAGAATCTATCCCACAGATATATCTGCACTTATAACAACTGACATCATACAAGCTTATTCATTACAGTATGACGAGAGCAGAAAAAACACAATATATAACTGGTTGAATATACCATGGTACATCCACAGAATGGAGTATTATGTAGCCACAAAAAAATGAGAAAGAGCTCTAACAGCTGATATGGAGATTGCCAGGATAAACTCTTGGTAAGACATTTTTTCATCTCCAAAATGGCTCCAACTTATAGTCAATGTGACAGGCAAGCACTGTGTCATAGTTTAATGGGCAAAATTTTATAATTTCTTGGTGGTACATATAATGGTATACTTTCCTTAGAGCTGATGCAATATAATGGTAAATAAAATAAATATAGATCAGTGAATACAGTTAAGTTGCCAGAAACTACTTGTGTAAGAAATAAAGAATATATACTTATATTTGTATTTGCCTAAGGAAACGTTAAAAGGATAAACCATAGTCTAGTAAAACTGGATGCCCAGAGGGACATGGGGATATGGTAGATTGGGCTACAGGTGGAATTGGGACTTCTCTTGTCTGTACCTCTCTATAGAATTTTGATATTTGAGCTAAGAATATACATTACCTAATCAAACAAACAAAAAAATGAACATATCTACTGAACAAACTGTTGCCTTAGGTTGAGATTTTATGAATAAAAAATATTTGTGGAGAAAATATTAATTCAATGGGTGAAAAAAAATGTAACATTTTCCACCTGTCCCTCTACTCTTTACTTTTCTCAATGCTGTCAATACTGAGGTCTAACTCTACATTAAGACAGGCCTCCAATAATTTACTTTTAAACTTAACATGGATCTTTTATTCTTTTGAGATGAAACCACAATATACTATATAAAAATTACTTGTTGAAATTGTATTAAGAAAGATACATTTAGGCTCTTACATTCTGTTTGATTATAAAACTAACCCAACTTGGCAAAAGATCGTCAATAAATTATAACTGATAAAGTGAAGTAACAGTAGCAGCTTTGGTAAACTCCTCATTAGAAATCAAGAAAGGAGTCAGTATTATTCAATCAAATTTATTCAATCAGTATTGTTCAAGTTTACAGAAGTCTCTTTTTCATTCTGAAACTTGTTCTTGAGGTTTTCTAACCCTATAAAAAGATTTACAATATATTTCAATCTAAAAGGTTACCAGCGGTATGTGAAAAGCGGTTGACAGGCAAATTAGTAGCTACACTTGAGATTTTCTCAGGATTTTATTCCCACCTCTTCTAATGTAATATATCTCTCATGCTATTTAAAAAATGTTTTTATAAACAAGCAATTAAGCTACAATCAATTTCTACAAGGTAAAGTCAAAGTTGTAAGGGATCCAAAGATATTTATCCAATCCCAATAAAGTAGATGACATCCAGTAAGTTTGCTCAAAGTCGCAATTTTATTAAAACAAGTGAAATTAAAGTTAAGCTAGTAAAAAAGAAATCAGGGCTATTTAGATTCCCAGTCCCTTTCCTTGATACCCATCTAACTCAAGGAAAATGAGAAGATACTGAGTAGCACTTCTGAGAGCCTCTGGTTCGTTCTCAATGGATCTTCTCTGCTTAACCCAAAGATGTTTTTTGTCTATGAAAACTCTGTTATACTATCATAAACTGGGACTCTCCTCCAAACTATCAGAGTGAGGACTGCCTCCTAAGAATCTGAAATAAAAAGCTGGAGGAAAAGACTTCTCAGTCCAGAAGAATCCAACAACTAATTTATAACCATCCATAGAATTACCACCTCCCTGAGAAGGGAAAAGACATATACCAAAATACTCAAAAATTCACTAAAAGCAGCAGAAATGCAACTCTGATGTGTCCCTTCGATCCCAGGGGTCACCCCAAAGGAAAGCCTAAGAACCAGGATTCATGGCACTATCATTTACCAAGCAAAGATCTTAGCAATGCAAGTATGGGGAGAAGGAAAGTGAGGTCCCTCTACAGCAGTGGTCCCCAACCCCCAGGCCGCAGGCAAGTATTGATCTGTGGCCTGTTAGGAACTGGGCCGGACAGCAGAAGGTGAGTGGCGGGTGAGTAAGCAAAGCTTCATCTGTATTTGCAGGCGCTCCCCAGCACTACTAGCAATGCCACCTCAGCCCTGCCTCAGATCATCAGGCATTAGATTCTTATAGGGAGCACCAGTCCCTGGTGCCAAAAAGGTTGGGGACTGCTGCTCTACAGGACTTATTATGCATGTTTTCCTCTACCATTTAACAGCAAACATGACAACCCTTTGCCTTTCTTCACAGGGAGAATACTCTAAAGGAGCTTGATCATTAAAAAAGAAAAATTAAAAAAAAAAGAGAGAGAAGAGAAAAATTAGCTGTAAATCTAAATAAAATATAATTCATGGCCATGTAATAAAAGACACAGTATATAACCCATGAAGATTATAATTCATAAGACCCCGTCATTTTCCCTTGTAAAACTTCTGTATAACTAAACAAGTTCTCAGTGTGTATAAAACGACTTAATCAAAAAGATTTACTTCCTTTTGTACATTTAAGCTGCAGCAAAAGGGATGGTTAATGGAAATTCCTGGTTACTAACAAAGGTTGTTATGTCTGGTGTTAAAGCAGGTCCTTGCCTAAACAGTTAAGACCAAGAGCTGCACTTTGTATTTATTATAAAACTCAAAAATTTGAGCTTGATTCTGAGTATAAAATTTAGATGATAACTGTACCTCCATCCCAAGCAATTGCATTTACCTTAGCCATGACTTCTGGATCTGGTTCTTCCACAGGGTCAGCCCATTCAACTGTAACTACATTTCCCCAAACTTTTACTTTTCCACTCATCAGCCGGCGTCTGGCTTGTGCTGCTGACTTGTGATCCTCGTATTCAAGGAAGCAGAACCCCCGATTCTTCTTTTTGTCATCGGGTTGATGATAGAGAATAACGTCCACCAAACCCTCTGTTAAACCAACAGCCAGATAAATAAGCCAAAAGCATCCACCACACATCTAATGATTAGGCAGACCTAAATCCACTTGCTGAAGAGCAAAAAATAACTGAAGAAGCCTCAAAATGATTCACTAATTACCTAGTAGACAATTAAATCAGTATTATTAGATATGAACTTTGTAACAGTATTTTATGTTCCCTTTTAAGGGGTCATGAAGATATAACCATAAACAGCAGGTCCAACTTTGACATATAACATTCTACAGTGTCTTAGAATAGTGATATAACATGACCTTATAAGTTACAAAACACTACCAAATAACTTAGAAACCAAATTATTAATATAAATCAAAGAGAACTAACATTCAACAACTAATCATGTCCAAAAATCATCCTTGGCTCTAACTTAAAAGTTGTGGTTTTTAACAAATATGAAAATAACTGCTAAATATTGGTGTCCATCTGGTCTTAGTTCTGTGCCCTCATCTTTCCATATGTTCCTTCTCAGTAATACCAGCTAGTTCTCACTTTTAAGTACTTTCTCTATCTTTAAAAATGCTTAGATTTTATTTCTAGCCCAGACTTGAAGACATTTCAAATATAACATGTCCAAAACTACACCACCACTCCCCAAATCTGTCTCTCTAGACTTCCCTATCTAATAAATAGTACCATCATCTGGGTTCTCAAGACAGAAACTGAACTCATTCTTGATTTCTTCCTTAACTTCATCTCCCCTACCTAATGCCAAGCCAATCTATCTTTTGCATCTCCAATGCTATTACCTTAGCCCAATCTCTTCTACCGGGACTACTATGAAAGCTTCTATTCTTAACCCCCTCTGAGCCATTACCATATAACAGTAGGAATAATATTCTATAAACAGATGTTATACCCTGCTTAAGACCTCCAAATACCTTCTCATTATACATACAATAAAACCTAAACTCCTTACATGGTCTACTTCACCGCATATAATTCTATTCTTAATTCTACCTTTTAACAATACTGGCCTTCTCTCTGTTACTTTTATACACCAAGTTCTTTCTTGCCTTAGTGCCCTGGCATGTGTTGCTCTCTTGGAATGCACATCTCTTTGCTCTTTACATGGTACACCTTCCTCATTCTTCATGTCTTGGATGAAATGTCACATTATCAGAAAAGCTTTCCATAACCATCAAAAAACACAGATAGCAGCTATTCTCTAGCTAAATATCCTTTATTTCCCTCTTCACAGTGCTTATCAAAATGTGTAAATATTTTTTTGTCTTATCTCTTTCCCCCAAATGTAAGTTCTATAAGGGCAAGGAATAGATCTCTCTGATTGACCACTGCATCCCAGCACACAGCACAAATACCAGCACTTAACAGGCACTGGATGAACACTTGCTGAAAGAATAAACGGATATGAAGCCAGAAAGGAGCTGGCAGGCAATAAAAACATGATGAGGTCAAAGAACTGTGCCATTAGGGCTATCTGACCAACGCAATTGATGGATAGTGGCAGTGGTTTCAAAGTGGGATGCTAGAAGTCAAGATTCCAGAGTGGCTAGAATATGTGGCGACAAGATCCAGAATGTGACCTGGATGTAGGGGAACTGAAGTAGAGGAGTGGATATGAGGTGGTCACAAAACAGAGGCTAGGGCATTAGATGGTTCATCCACATAGATATAAAAGTATTAAGAGTAAGTCGATTTAGGGCAGAAGAGGAAGACAGTGAGCCAGCAGCAATCTTCAATTAATGAAAGACTAAAATCAGAAGAGCAAGAGATGACAGCTTGAAGGAAAGAGAAAGGATAGGTATGTCTGGATGACAAAATATAAAGGATTAGTGGTTTTTAAAAGGGAAAGCAATGGTCTAAAACAGTGTTGAGCCACAGCTGTCATTTAGTGGTATCCATCAGCACTTAAAAAATGAAATGGAATAGAAAATATCAGACTAAAGCATGTATAATAAGTGAAAGCATGGTTTCATTAAATTTTGTTACACAGAAATGTATATAGACTTGTGATATAAAATGCACTTCTCCATCAATTCCATGAATTTAGACTTGGAAATTTTGAAAAATCTGATCTAGAGGAGGCAAAAGGAAAGAGGAGGATAAGAACTCTCAACCCGTTGGCCCTAAAGCACACTGAATGTCAGAGGGGAAAAGCCTTCACTTGAGGGCTACAGGACAAAGACTCTGGCAAAAGAAAAGGTTCAATTAAGGCAAAGAAGGGGACATTCCAAGAAATTTAGGATATGAGGGAACTTGCTTAGTCCAAACCACTATAAAGCAGAAAAGAGGTGATTTAGACACTGAATAGACATTTGAATTCTTAAGATTAATATAGACCTTTTTTTTGCACTTATAAATAACCACAGATTTCCCAAAACTAACTTCTAAATACATTTTTGTTTTACCTGTGACTTTACTGAATTCTTCCAGAATGTTTTCTTTAGTCTTATTCTTCGGAATTGATCCAACAAAAAGCCTGTTGTTTGCCACAGAAATGCACACTCCAAGATGTTTACCAGGGCGGATTTCATAGCTGTCACACTGCAAGGAAGAAAAGAACCAGATACCCCACAACCACCCCTAACTCAGGACTGATCTCGATCTAAAAAATTTAACAATTTACGGTCAAACACTCCCTGCTTCATGAACTCAGAGTTCCTTCAGGCTTGCCAAAATATAAATGTGTAACTAAAACAGTCTCATTTCTGCTTAGTTCACTGCTCCTCCATATATAAATGATTCAAAGTTATTCATTTTATTTTTTAAAATATCTTACTTCATGTGGTGACAGGAAGAAATCTAACTATAGGGGGTGAACACACAGTGTAAATATATATATATGCCTTACTGTTAAAGTGTATAGCTAAAACTTATTGGATTTCGTTAACCAATGTCACCATAAAAAAAATAAAATAAAATAAAAAATAATAAATAAAAAAAAATCTTATTTCATATTTCAACTTTATCTAAAATTTTTTTCCCAGAGAATTTCAGAACAACTACCAGAGACTTATTATTCAGGGTCCTTAGAAAGGAAATTAGATCTAGATAAGCCATAAGCAAAATAATAAAATATAATGACTATGTTTAATCAATGCAAAAAAAAAGTAATACTTCATTCTACACAAAACAGAATTCTAAATATATACACATAAGGTTTTAAACTGCGTATCAAACACAATCCTTTCAAAATTATATGAAATGACAGGAATAAAAAATGTTTTATTTAAATCACTGTATAATGGTTTCCTTGATAAACTTTAGCTTCTCATGCTTCAACATTACTTACCATTTACTAAAATATGTCATTAAAAAATGAAACCATCCATACATTGCCAGAAATGTAGAAATAAAGCTTTGAAAACTTCTCAATATTAAATAAACAAACTGTAAGGAAATGTCCATAACAAAAACTAAAGTCTGGGCCAAGCCAGAAGTGGAACTAATTTAGAAGCAATTAATGAAACCAAAGAAAGACTTGATAAAAAGGTTATCATTCCAGAAGGATTAGAACTAGACTAAGTGAGGTCTTTACATGTTTAGCAAAAGTTTATGCCAAAACATGACAGTTATTTTAAGTTACTGAGATGGTTGTATCTTAATGCAGTAAGACTGAAGATATACTTAATTTGCAGAACTTTGTTACTACTACTACTGCTCTGAAATAAGGGCAAAAAGTAAAAGGCCCTACAGAAAAGAATTAGTAAACTACTATTTTATAATAGAAAAGAGAAAGATTAAAGACAGAGAGGACTGAAGAGCTCAGAAACAAAAAGATAGAAAACAAGAACATACTTAGAAAATAAATAAATTGTATGATTACGCTGGGACAAAAATAAAAAAGATTCACAACCATTTCCTGAATTGTATCCTGAAAGTCACTATCGCCTATTGTTGTTTCCCAGAACCTATCTCAGCCTTCACTGCAGTTTAAGAATCCTATCCTAAAGTATAACAGCAAGAACTGACATCCTTTTTTGTCCTAAAGCAAAAGAGAACTGCAGAAGCCAAATATTCAAATGAAACTTTAGATATTAATCATTCTAATGGATAACTTTTATAATTATGGGAGACTTTCCCTAACACATTATTTCTTGAGTACTTTCATTTTTTTTACTTTTATAATCAGAAAAAATAGAGCAAAGGTTACATACCAGTTCGCTCAATATAAAAACATCCAAAGCAAAAACTAAATAAAATAAAACAATGTTAACCGCAAACATTTTTACTTGAGGTAATTTTCTCAAATAATGACTTGCTAGACAGTGGGTATTTGTTATCACATACCAGTTTAACAGCTTCCTGTGCAGCTTCCTTTCCACAGAAGGTGATAAATGCATACCCTCTGTTCTGACCAGACAGTGGATCCATCATAAGACGTAGATCCCAAATGGGACCAGCCTTTTCAAAAAGGGGCACCAACTCATCCTCATATAAATCTCTTGGTATTTTACCTACAAAGACCTGAAATAAAACCTCTGTATTAGAATCCCAATATAAGCATTTAATTTTAGAGCCATAAAGTCTAACTGCCTTTTCTTTAAGGGGGTGGGGACACAGAGATAGTCAAGAAAAATGGAAACAATTTAAATCTTACGGAACTAACTCTAGTTTTTATTATTATGACTTCAGAATCATCAATATAGAATATTCTATATTAAAAATGGAAACTGACCAGTAAGTGTGCAAAATTTGTACTAAAATTTGAAAATTATGTCTTTTGCTCACAAAAATAAAGAGCATGTATTATCTTCATGGAAATATAATGTCTGTGTTTTTATAAAAATAATTAAATACAAGATTTATGTGGTCTTCCTCAAGTTTTCTCAACTCTAATATCTTTACTATTAAGAACTCCAGTGCTTCAATGCATCCTCTTTCTCCATCAGAACATTAAAAATATAAAAAAAATTCTTCACCATATGAAGATTTGGTGTTCTGTCTTAATTAAAATTACATTATAGGATTAAATTGTAATATACAATGTTAAATTAGAATTAAATAATCAGAAACCTTCTCAGTATTTATCATCAGACCACAATTTTCTTCAAGCTTCCACCATGTCAGCAACATTAAAAACAATCTTTTACATTAAAGCATTTGCAATCCACACAGTCTTAAAGAGTAAATTAGTATTTGCATGAGATGAATTTTCTAGTCAAACTCTTCTACATCAACATTTCATATTCTGAAAAAATGACCTGATTAATAAGTAAGTAATAATAGCAATCCAAAAGATGTAAAATTATACTGAATATTAAATTTCTGATGTTTAAGTTCTACAAGCTGTGCTATCTTAATACAATCTTTTTCAAAATAATCGAATTCACCTTCACTGCTGTCTGTACCTGAGGTCTTCTTTGAATCTCTAGCATGATTCTCACGCAACCTATTCCAATTCTTCTATCTCCTTAAAGTCTCCAATGCTCATTCACTAAATCTCATTCTAAGATTGTCTGGGAAAGTTATTGGTTTCCTCATAGTCTTTCTTCTCAGCCTTAAAAACCTTTCTCAGTATCTATTTTCATACCTTTCCTTTGCCTCAGAGAGAGAAATTTACTTCCTTTCCACGGTTAACTCCTTTATCCTAATAAATAAGCTCATTTCTTCTCACCACCTTCTGGAAATCATTACAAACCTTTGTCCCTTCAAGTCTACTTTGCTCAGTACATCCTTTCCTTCCCACTGGTTCCTTCCTCTGTCTTCAAACATGCCAAATCTTTCATAACAAAACAAAATACCAACAAAAAATCCTTACTTTAGCTTATATCTTTCCTTTCATTTTTATGTGCTTTGAACACACACCCCATGTTTTAATTCACTTGTGCAGTTATTCTTTTCAACACATCTACTATATGCTTAGTACTATGCAGCTACAGTGAAATATATATAAAACATTTAAAGTGTCATCTAAATGATATCCCTACAGAACCATCTAACGAAAACTTACTCTGAAAATCACTTGGCATCTATGCTCTCTCTAAAATTGTCTTCTTCCTCTAACTCTAACACTAAACTGCATGCCCAATGTCATAATGGACTTCTAATAACCAAATTCAAGTCCTTCCTCAGTCTCATTGTCCTTGCCTTCTCAACAAATATTAACATTGGTGATGCTACCTTTTGAAAATTCTCTTCCCTTAGGTCTTCAGAATCCACCACTAACCTGGTATTTAATTACTTCTCTAGCCTTTCTATGGTGATTCTTCTATCCATCCAACAGTCTGTGTGTTTTCCAAGGTTATGGCTCTATCTTCTATTCTTCACTGTATTTTCTTTAAAGATCATATCCATTCCTAAAGTCTAAAACTATAGTTATCTCCCAGATCCACATTGCAAGACCTAATTCTGTAACTCCAACTACCTATTAAACATTTCCTCCTGATTGTCCTGGTTTTACCCTCAAATCATCAATAAGTCTAGAGCTCCCAACTTTTGTTTTTTGAATATAGATATAAGTATAGATAAGGATAACAATATCAGAATACTAATACTTATCAATGCATGAAAAACCTGTTCTAATTTTATTCTTCTTCCTTATAATTTTCTAAATATTCCACAATAAAGACATGTTTGTAACAAATGTTTCCTTTTTCCAAAAATCAAAATAACTAAAACCTACCGTTGTCAACCAGCTCCTCTGTTTTTTCGTCATTTCTCTTGGAAGAACATAATTTCTGCTGCCCTCCCCACAAGATGACTGAGGAAATAATATTCCCATTAATAAAAAAATCTCAGATATTTTGAATCCCCCCCCATTCCCATCCATATCCAATTAATGTTTTAAGTATCAGCTTGAAGTTGCTCCAATGCATAATGCCTAGCCTATACAGACAACTGGTTCCCTCTCATAAGACAAATTTTCATGAGACATGGAATCACATATACCTCGGACTCATGCCATGTACTTTTCTAAGTTCTAGAGATAAGTGAACACCACAGACAAGGTCTAGGCATTCATGAAGTTTATATTTTACTAATAGAGACAGACAAACTAAAAAAAAAAAAAAGTATGATTTCAGGAGGTGTTAAAGGCTAACAAATATAAAAGCAAGGAAAAGGAATAAACGAGGAAGATAATATATTTTAATCAAGAGGGCCTCCCTAAAGAGGTTAAATTTGAACTAAGACCTAAGTGAGAAAATTAAGTAAAAATCTAAGGAAAGAGCATTCCAAGGTGAGGAAACAAGTACAAAAAGATGAGAGTACAACTGACATAGCTGAAGAACAGCAAACAGACCAGTGATGACTGGAATGCAAGGCCCAAACAAAGTGTTGAAAAAAAGAAAAGACATCAGATTAAGTTAAACCATGGTTAGGAGTTTCGAGTTTTATTCCAAACATGATGGGGAAGACAAGAGAGGTTTGAGCAAACGAGTGATCGGGTATGACTTATGTTCTAAAAGAAATATTCTGGAACTGGGTAGAAAATGGACTATATGGAGAAACTGGTTCGGTTAATGGGGCAACCCAGGCCAAGAGATAATGTGGCTTGGCATAGCAGAGTGATTGCTATAAATGTAGGAAAAATGGGAGAAATGATGAGTTTCAATTATGTTGGATTCAAATCTACATTTTAGTTACCTTGAACAAGTTTCTTAATCAGTGAGTCTCAATAGCCTCATCTGGGAATAACATTAGCAAGAGGGTTCGATTTCCACGAGAGCAGAGAGCTCACAACCTGTTTCTCATTTTACTCTCGACATTGAACACAGTGCCTGGGATATAATGAGTGCTCAATTTTGAATGAATGTATGAACAGTTACCTCATACAGTTAACTTATATCCTAACCGGATGCCATTTCTTCTCTCCTACTTAAGGACACATGGTCCAGCAACAATTTTATCATCTATTTCCCCTTTTATACATGGACTGTTACAATTAGCACACAAGTATATAATAATTTCTCCCTTAATATTGAAATTAAAACTAAAATATATCTTGACTACAATACCTTTCAGCTATTGTCCCATTTTTCTGCTACACTTTGTAGCAAAATTGCTCGAACAACTGTATATAATACTTGCTGTCTCAAATCCCTCATCTCTCACTCTCTTGAATCTTCTCCAAATCTGGCTTTTACTACCATTCCTGTCAGAGTAACTAATGACATCCACAGTGCCAAAATCGAATGTTGATTTCCCAGTCCTCATCCTACTTAGAAAGTTTGATATAACTGACCATCCTTCCTTCTGTGAAAACTTTTTTCATGTGATTTCTGGGACACCACACTCATTTTCCTCCCACCTCATTGGCTCACTCTTCTCTATTCCCTTTGTTAGTTCCTGCTTATCTCCTCAAACTCTTAAATGTTGACAGGCTGCAGGGATCAAATCTTAGACCTTTTTTCTTAGCTACACACACTTCCTTGGTGACCACATGCAAATTTGTGGTTTTTAAATACTATCTAGATGCATATGCCTCCCCGTACATTTAGAATCTCCAGCCAAAACTCTCTCCTGAACTCCAAGCTCATATAAGCAATTGATCTTACAACAGTTAGCAACTTGGAAGTCTAAGAAACATCTAACATAACATGTCGAGAACTTAACTATCTTTCAAATCTGTTAATTTGTTCTTCTCTAAAGCTTTCCTCATTTCAATAAATTCCATCCTTCTATGTACTCAGGTCAGAAGCCTTGAAGTTATCTTTGCTCCTTTCTCTCATACCTCCATATCCAATCCATCAATAAATACGGTTATATATGCCTTCAAAATATCCAGAATCTGACTACTTCTTGCTAGCTTCAGTTATACAACCTGTATTAGCAACTCGATAAACACTCATTAACAGCACAGCACCAAAAAAAGCTACTGATAAAAGGTGCCCTGAGATAAGAAATATACAAGGGTAACTGACATTAATTTTGAAATGCACTTTTTTGGTGTGGCTAGACTCTCTGGCCTAGTCTGATTAGAGTATTTTTATATTTGAGGATATCTGAGTATTTTAAAACTGTTTTGGGAAGTAAATTCTGCTTTATGTTGTTTCTACTAATATAATGCAATGGTGCCCCATAATTACGTGCTTTACCAACCATATTTTCTCCCTATACATTACATACATATACATGTAAAAGCAAAGAAAGCACACATGCAGTGGCACTATGAAAATATATGACACAGAGGAAAGGGAAGAAACTAAGTGGCAGATTATTATACTACTTATATAACACTTGTACCTATATTTTTAGAACCAGACAAGTTTGCATCATTAAGCATACTCAAAGTGAAAAACATGTATTTTCAGCAAAAGTAATTACTTTGATGATTGAATAATCAATTTACAGAAAGGATTCATAAGAGCAAGCTCCTTATACTCTATCATTTGAATGTTAAAAGTCCAGCTGACAGATTTTCCAAGAGAATACTGTTTTATTTTAGAATATCTACAAATCTGTGGTCAACAAAGTACCCAATATTATAATCACTGCGGTCCATAAAGAAATAGACCAAAAATATTGATTATCTGAGAAATAGGAGGTATCCTCATTTCAAAATCAGTTTAACTTAGGACATTAAAAGAACTTAAAAAGGTTAAAACTAAACAATATTCAAGAATTAAGTATCGCTCCTTTTAAAGCATTTTAAGCTCAATTTTTAATTACCTAAATATTTTCTTTTGTTCTCTTTTTTTTTTTTAAGGCGAGGCAACCTTTGGTTGACTTCACAGATTGCAAGGACCTTGTCATCTTACAATCCCTGATTTTTTTAGATGCCTACAGCACCTGGTCCCTCTAGGTGGTCTCCCATGCAAGTACTAACCAGGCCTGACCCTGCTTAGCTTCCGAGATCAGACAGGATCGGATTTGTTCAAGGTAGCATGGCTGTAGACTTTCTTTTGTTCTTTTGTCTAAATATACTTTTACTAATCTGTTGGTCCCGGAGCCATTCTGGCTCCATATGAGCTATTCAAAGTAAACATTCAATCATGGGCAAGTAATCTTCCACCTCCCCTCCAGAACCAACAGAATCTGGTGAATACCATAACGACAGTTTTTCCTTTACTCACTCAGCATCAAGGCTTTAGAAAAGTTTTGGCTGTCTAATAGTGATCCATCGAATATTCTAACAGTAACAGAGGAAGCCCTTTGAGGCTCCGGAAGTAATCGACATAAGTAACCAGGCAGCTCAATAGTCTTTTGTGTATCTACTGGGGTTCTTCCATTATCCCATTTACTTGCTATATTGCAAACATGGAAGCTCTTCCTTATACACATAATTCAATTCAGGCACTACAAAGTCATATACTTTTAGGTTTCCATTAAATAGGTCTCTGTTACTGGTTCTGTAATACCTCCATTAGTGAATAAAACAAAGAATTAGATCTCAATCTACCATTTCCTTTGAATCCTTCAACAGAACACCAGTTCTATGTAGCTTAAACAAATAAAAGCTTACCATGTAGCCATGATCTCCATGGATGTTACATTTATGTTAATGCAGACAAATTAAAACAGAATTTGTTCCCCAAAACAGTTTTATAATACCAGCTGAAGACTATGCAGATATTATAACCAGATTAGGTCTGAGAGCCATGGCACACTAAAAAATACATCCCAAAATTAATACCAATCATTCTTGTATATTTCTCATCTCAAGACAATGCTTGGTAACAATGTCTTGCTAATAATGAATGCTCATTTGTAGGATTAATTTACAGTAGATTTTATCCAAAGATAAACCACGAAGTCTTCTTATAACTTAATTTCGTCAGTCTCAGGAACTGACCCTAATTTCAACTTCCTCAATCAGGCACTAAAAAATTTTAATGACTGTAATGAAACAAACAAAACAAAAACCTAAACCCCACAGGATCAAAAAATATCAATTAAAACCAATTTATTAAATCTACCAGAAACCCAATATATTAAAAACCTATTTTTCTGATTTTTCAAAACTTTAATTTTCAACAAGTACAGGTCAAATCTCAGGAAACTTAAATTTATGAGAGGAAGCCAAAACTTAACACTGTGATTCTGTTGTAATAAATTGTATGACAAGAGTGGCTTAGGCTGATCTCATACTGGGATTCTGCTACAATACCTACTGTATGTAATTATATCTAATATAGAGAAAAAAATCTTCTAAAGAAGCAATGCAATTTAAAAGAATGTATACATATTTTACAATTAGCACTGTAATTATAAAATTGTTTTTAACCGGATACCAACTATTTGTTTCTAACTGGATACTCAAAACAATTTCCTATTAAATTGTTCGGATGCTTCCAGTAAAATCTTAGAATACTAGCAAAGTCTTTCTTTATCTATTTAAAGCAAAGATAAAATAAGTCTCCAATTAATGAGCTCATTAATGAAAGCAATCAAATAGGCTAAAAAAAAAGTTCATTTTTATAATTATGAAATAGATAACAACCAATTTTACACGAGGTTGTATTTAGCATTGGGAAGAATATAACAGTATTATATAGACTTAATGTTTATTCCTAAGGATTTTATAACTAGTTGAAGAAAAACAAAACTAAGATAAATGTTATAACTGATAAATACTAACATGGATATCATATGCTGAATGGTATACTACAGATAACTTTTTTAAACTGTATTCCCCTCTTGGAGGTATTGTAGGCTGTCTCAAAAACAAGGAAAAGGCACTTTAATTATTTTATATGAGGATTTAATTAAAAAAAAAATTCTGATACTAAGAACAAAATTCAAAACCATTAGACAAAAATACATATGCTGTACTAGTCTAAGAAAGCTGAACTATATTTCTATGTTCTTTAAAAATAAAATATAAATGTAGATTTGAAAGGATTCACTACATAGGCAGAAGATAAAGGATAGCAGGGAGGGGGAGTTAATGAGGGGACAAAAGTGAAAAAAAAAAAACGCAAAAATATCATTCACTTGTACACTATGTTTTGATGACATTCACTCCTATAAGGAACATAGATGGCTTGGAGCCCCAATTTCAACACTATCAATAATTACATAACATTAAGTAATTCAGTTTTTTTTTTTTTAAAAAGAGACTAAACAATCATATATAGCTGATTCAGGTATTAAAAACACAAAAAGCTTAAGAGCCCCTTTACATTTTCTTTAAATATACAGAAATAGAAAAAAATAGACTATTAACTGTAATGTTTAAAAGAAATTCAGGAAACAAAGACCAGTGAATGTAAATTCCACTCTATATACAGAGAACACAACCAGAATTAGTTCTGATACAGATCTAAGAAATTATGTTACATGGTGATGTCTTTGTCTAGTTACGAACTAGAAATAATCTGCTTTTGGCTACCTGGAAAGTTAAGTTTTAACTTTTGAGAGTGTTACTGATAACAGTTTAAAATGAGAGAGTTAACTTTTAAGATTTCTTACAATTCTAACATAAGTAGGAGATATATAATACCACCCAAATATTTAATTGACATCATCACCTAAAGAAGCTACACCCATTACTTTGTTTTAAAGAAAATCCTATAAAATTATCATTTAATCTAGTTTAAAATTTAAGTTACAAAGCCACAATTTTAGTATCCAAAGAAAAAAACTGTAACCAATCATTCATCAAATATTGTGTGCCTACTATATTGCTGCATTATGCAAGGCACTAAATACAGACAGTTGAAACACCAAATCAGAAAATGTCCCTGCTGTAACAGAGCTTACATTTTGGCCCGTAGTTTTCTCCATTTAAAGGATTAAAATAGGCTAGCATAAAGGCATATGAAGAAACCTTTATGAAGGCACAGATGAAGGATGAATTACTTCTTTGTTTAAATATAAACCAATGTGATCAACCTTTTATTCCACACCCTTCCCTTGTAAAACCCACTCCCATCAATAAATCTCTCAGTAAATATTGAGGACCCTCTATGTGATGGAGGGGAGGGAGGGTAAAGGAGAGAGGAAAAGCATTATTCAAAATCAGACATAAAACAAAACCAAAAAAAGAAAAAACAATTGTTTCTCTTGAATACCTCACCCAAACACCTAAAATGGTGTGTTGCTAGTCGCATAGTTTTAGCAATCAGCTCCAAGAATTCTACATTCCTTTACAAGGTGTTTGAGTATCTACTAGTCACATGATTATCCTTGCTTATGATGGCAGCAAAATACAGATGGATATCCAAAAAAATAATAGCTAAACTTTTAAAAAAGAATCAAGTATTTTTCCTAATTGCACAACAGAGAGAATAATCTACACACTGGAAAGATTTTGGCAAACAGCTGAAGAACACTTACTTCTGTTCCAATTCCAGGTTGCATGCCAGAATACACACTGTCTGGTGGAGGACCACCATACTTCCTCTGTCCTGTGGTTACATCCAGAGTATAACCAGTCCTCTCAAGCAAGGCCTAAAAATAATTTGTACAACTGTTTATTCTTGAATAATATCACAAATCAGTATATTAATATTTTCCAAAAGCACCTCAACTCTTAGGCTATGTATCTTATAATTAGGTTTAAAAAAAAAAGTCAAAATTCACACTGGTTCTTCTCACATATTGCTCCCACTTTATTTTACTTCTCCTTTCCATACATTTAATGGAAAGGATTATAGGCAAATTAAGTCTCTAAGGACACACCTTCTTCTGTTATGAGAACAGAAAAATGGGGCAAGGGTTATTAATAATTCAACACATGCTGAACCCAAGCTACCTACTCATATTTATGTAGCACAGTATTCCTCATTTTGCACCCCCTCTACTTCAATTAGACTTCTTTCCTTACTTGTTCCCTTTACATACCATACTTATATCCACCAGTGATTCTTTTCAAATAAAGTGTTCTCTACCCTTAAAAAAATTATAAGTCCTACCTCTCAAACAGCTTCTCTCATTTACTATTTCTCACATCTTCCTACTTTCTATTATACTCAAACAATTTAACTTCTACTTTGTTTGATCCTTTTGTTTTATATTCCTGCTATACCATAAACTCTGTAAGAACCAGACCATTTCTCATATAGCACAGACTCAAAATATTTGGCAATACCAAATGAATACAAATCAGGTTTCAAAAAGCAAAAACCTCATGTTTCCTGATTTCCAACCTTCCTCACAATATAATATTAGGTACCAAGAGGAATTGCAGAAAAGAAGATATTGTCCTTGCCCTTAGGTTTTGTTAGTTTATATAAAGGGCCTACAGAACAAAGCCACATGGGACAAAAAAAGAAGCATAATCTACCTAGAAAGGGGAGAATTCTTACACCTCAGGTTTTTAAAATTATACAATGTCAAAGCAACAAGAGATTTTAGACACCATCAAATTCAGTAGTTTTCAAAAATATCTCCATTTTTACCTTTGACTCAAACTGAGCTGCTCTACTTTTTTGTTTGTTTGTTTATTTTATGTCGTTCTACTTTTAAACACAGAAATACATGTAATATATAAAATATACATAATATGTATATTACACATTTACTCATGGTGGTACTTATATAACATGTAATACACACATATTACATATATTATACTTTATCAAGAGTAAATAGCTTTAGGGACATAATATAGGACTATTCAATGAAGTTATGTTTTTTGAAAAACTATTAATATGAAATGGAATTTTCACATATTTAATTATTTTTAAAATAGTAATAAAAGGATTATCATTTTACAAATGAGGGGGAAAAGTTATAAAAAGAGCTCTATATAAGCTAATTATATGACGGAAACTACAAGTTATATTTCCTATCTACGTAAAACTGTACAAACTTCAACATTAAATAACTATTTCAAATTGAAAAGTCTATTACTACAGCAAAACATCAATGTCCATCTAAGGAATTAGGTTCACTGGTCTTTCACTAAAAGCCCCATATGTACCTTTCACAGCAGTGTATCTAAATAATAATAATAGTAACAATAATATCTCATAGTTACACAGTTCTTACAACATTCCAGGTATTATTCTAAGTGCTTTACATATTTTAATTCCTTTAATCCTCACGACAACTCTATGACGTAGGTACTATTACTATCCCCAGTTTACAAATAAAGAAACTGAAGTAATAAAAATTCAAAAGGAGGAAAGCAGTTATAAAAACACCTCTTTACCAAGAAAAAAGAAACAAAGTAGTATGAAAGAAACTGAACCGAGAAACATGACTGAGTCAACCGAAGAAACTATTAAAGGAAGCGTCAATAAATATATACCATTCATAGACCAAAGAACAAGAAATAAGGGAGAGTCTAAATTAGAGTTTTCCACCAAATAACTAAATGTTTGCCCCTCAAATTCTTAAGTAATTTTCCCTAAATTATTACATTTCTAAACACTAATTAAAAAAAAAAAGAGAGAACTATAAAAACCGTTTCTAGGAAGTAAGCCTGCTATCTCAACATTAAATTCAATTTTGTCAAGTTTTACCTTGATCTTTGCTTCATCAGGTCCCTTTGTAGACTCTTGCACCTTGCTTCCCTGTTTCTCCCTTTGCCTGTAAGTCTTCATAACTCCACATAAAAATGCACTTTTGTTCTAGAAGAGACAAGTAATTCAATGAAAAAGAATTAATAAGAATCACTGAAGGGTCAAATACATAATTAAATTTACATTTCTGAAAACCAGAATTTTAACAAAATCTTTACTCATTTATTCACTCAACAAATATTTGCTACGTGGTTACCATGTGCCAGAGACTGGAGCAAAAAGCAGTAAAGACAGCCAAGGCCTCAGAGAGCTTACCTTCTACACTGGCAAAAGTCTTCCATTTGTTGATATTTAAATGCATATAAACTATCTTTGCCACATGTTCCAAAACTATTCCCCCCACCTACATATTTCCCACCAAGGTAATAAAACAGGATCAGATAATACAAAAATGTTTAAGATCTGAGTAACGTAAACATGTAAAAAACAAATAAAATTAGCAAACCTTGGCTTTGATTTTAATTTTTTTTTAAGTAACTTACTGTAAACCAAAGAGGGAGACTTTTACTTTATACCTGTGTTTCTGAAAACTTTGCCATCAGCAGATCCTTTTTTTCTTTAATTTTTAAAAGAAGCAGAGGTAGTCATAAACAAAAAATACCACTTCTCCTCAGGAAAAAAATAGTAAAATAATTTCAGGTCATTAGTTGTTCAAAGACATTTCTGAGTAATGGCCTCACCTGAACATGTGATAAGTCACTTTCCTTGAACTGTTGTAGTACAGACAGAGCTCCTTCTTCATTAAATTCCCTGAGAGCATCAATTGCTCTTTCATCAAGATCGACATAAGCTACCAATCCTAAAAATTAAAAGGGTAACATTACTGCAACAAAAGATTAAACTGCTATCAATATTTAATCAAGAATAGTTACAGTAAATACTATTACTACCACACTACATTTTAACTTAACTATATGCATATAGACAGCTATACAAATACTATATAGAAAGGTCAAGAGTACAAACATGAAAATAAGAGATAAAATGTCAATACCTATAAACATGACTTTCAATCTGCACATCCCACAAAAAAAAAAAACACAAAAATTCTAACTGATTTCCCACTCCCCAGAAGGTTTAAGTGTTGGAAGTTAAATTTGATGTACACACTGTACTACAGATTAAGCATTAATATAACAAATCCTGGTCGATGTTAGAGTGGTAAGAACACATTGTTTTTCTCAAGGATCAACCTTCAAATTATATGGACTGTTGTAGCTATTGCTACCCACACAAGAAGTGGGGAAAAAAATAAGAAAGAACCATTTTTACTAAATTCTTTCCGTTCTCCAAAAAGTGTCAAAGGCTTTCCTTCCTTAGCACTAAAGATAAAATGAAATGCATTTGTTTATCTAATCATCTACTTTGCTGCAGTCAGAATGTGGAAAGGCATAATTTTAAACTTTTCTACAAATGCAAGTGCAGCTTGATTAATCAATTCTGAAAATCATATTTTAAGGCATTTTTTTGTTCTTCTGAAGTGTCAAGCTGAGATTTAAAAGATGCTGTGGCATTCACAACACTGTCAAAAATGACAATTTTTTTCAAATGGCATTAAGGATTTTACTGTGGACTTACACATAAACTATAAAGAAAATATACACTGCATTCTATACATGTAGTATATTTACACACAGAACATCTATTAAGCTTAAAATACAATTTAAGTCTGTTAAGTGTTATATTTCTCTCCATATACGTATAAGGAATAGATTTCAGAATTGATCCAAAGTAAAATAGAAATATTTAGCAGATTAAAACCCCCCGCGTCCATGTGAACTAACGTCAAAAGTGACTCCATTTTGGTTAAAGCCAAAAACAACTTTATTCCATAAAGTAAATACATTTTAAATAAATAAAATGCCATTTGCGAAGTTGCTTTTAAAAAATATTGCCATGATTTGTTTTAAAAGCTCAAAATGAGCATGTCTAAATAAATGGAGTTTCCTTACTTGAATATTCCATACCACCACAACTCAGGACACCCATCCGTCCACTCTGTTAATCCAACCATACACTCAAACCATCAGCATTTTATCAATAACAAAACACTCTACAAGAGAGCATCTCTAAGCAGATCACTGCGAATTCTCCATGGCAGAATGTCACAAAGTTCCTGAGGACTGATTTTCAAATGGGACCATCACTCAGGAGTCATTTTTAGAAGTCATTTTAACATCTGAAATTATCCCGAGCTTTTCAGATTAAAAAAATTTTTTAAGAACCAAAAAAACAGATATTTGTTACTACAGTACTTCAGACACATTTGTGAGACAATTCAGTTCTCTCTCCCAGAATCTGGATAGGCACACAAAACACTGAGGAAGAAAGTTTCCATCCATGGCCCCAAAGGGGAGGACACATTTATTTTTGAACAACATTCCCTAAGGGTAAATATTTCTCTCCCTCTTTAAAACTGCAAACCACTTACAACCAACTATATTAAGATGTTCAAATTTGCTTAAGCACTTAACTATGGGACTTCTAGATTTAAAAAAAAAAAAAAAAATCAGCTGTTACAAACCAAACACTTCCAAAGTACTGAGAGATGTGGATTTCTGTCTATTAGAAACTAGACAGGCCACAAACTCTCAAGGAGTCTGACATTTATTGTCATTTCAGACAATACTGTCTAACCAGTCCTCTTATTTGCCACCTAATCACACCTAAGCTGATTTAACAATCACTTTAAGAAGCTAAAAGTAGAAAAGTAAAAGCAAAATGATGACTGATTTAGATTAAGGAAAAAAAGTAAAATTTGGTATGCTGAAACATACATTTTAATTGGTGGTAAATCTAAGACAAATTGATGTACTGTTCTGAAACAACGAAGACTGCATATTCAACACTAAGAAGGCTTCAAAATAATGAGATAAGAATATCAAAGTCAAACCCAATATGCCCTCAATGAAGGGAAAGTAACAAACATTCAGCTCTACATAGATCAGAAACAATAAGTATTATTTAACCTTAAAAAAATCTATAATATTCAAAGTGGTTTGCCCTCACTTTCATAACCAGTCAGAAACAAGAAATGCATATTATACCTGTCTGAAATATTTCATCAAGTCTTTCTGCCACCTTCTGTGGGAGGCCTGCCTCTATCAGTGTCTTGTAGTGTTCTGTGTGAGTTACACTGGAAGTATCCATTGGTTCTTCCTCTTCTTTTAACTGTACCGCATTACCATTCACCTGATTAGCCATTTTATTATGCTGCTGGAAAAAATTCAGGAGCTATATTACATTAAGCCAGAAACAACTAGTTTGTAGGACAATGCATGATTTATCTAAACTAATTTGTATACATGCTGCTAATAATCTCTATCAAAATATTTTATGCCTTTTGTGATGTATCTGACCTAAATTTGCAATAACAATCCTGTAAAACCATAGAAAATGTACATGGAAGCATTAGATCTTTAACGAACTTCATGTACACTAGAGTAAATACAGGCTTGAATTTACTTAAGGTAGAATCGCTGATTAACAAAAGCAGCTGTTGTGTCCTGACAAGCATATCAACAAATCACCACAAAATCCTAAAAATCCCCTCAGCTCTCAATTCTTATACAGTTTTTAAAAGTTCGGTTTAAAAACATAATGAACACCCACAGACCACGGAGTCAAGGTTTAAGGACATTCAAATTTTCCTAGCTCTGCTTCAAATCCAAGATAGGTGTGAAACAAATACCCTGTTGTCTCTAGTTCAACACACTGGTGGTTTGGGTTTTCTCCACCTCACTTAAAACAAAAAAACTTGACATTATTTTTTGCTCTAAAATTAATGTACTATTCCCATTCACAGATTTAAAAGAAAAAATGACCAAGTTTAAAAGCTAAACAATTGATTCAAGTCCACATAAAATAAAAAGTGAGCTAGCTATATAGTTGAGGTTGCTTCATTAAAAAAAACAATGACTACACATTGGATTTTTCATATAAGTAAAATAAAGCTGCGAAACATAATGAAGAATGGACAACTAACTTCTGAATAGTTTCAACAAACATTAATTAGGATAAACTTAGGTGAGATGTCTTAACCTACCCAAATCATTTTGTATGTTCAACCTGTATGTAATGCTGAAATGAACCAACTCCCTGAAGAGAGATTAACCATACAAGGACAGTCTCTATACCTCAAAAGATAGAGAATTAAAGTTAAAGTGCATTTGTCTGTGGTGAAATTATCATGTGATGAAGATAATAAGCAGCAGAATAAAGACAATGCAACGAATACCGAAATGAAGGACATGAAAGTGGATCTCAAGAAAAAGCCTACTTTTTTTGATGAAACTCAAGATAACTAGTCATCTATAAAGAAAATACAAGTTTCCTAAAAAGCACTAAAACTCGTAAGATAACCACACTTCCAGACTGCTTGTCAAACACTGTGCAATGCACCAGGTGCAGTTTTCTGACTTAAAACAACTTCATTTCAAAGTCCATTAATATTTTGAAGTTAATGAAAAAGGAAGACCGAGGAAGGAGGTAATAGAATAGAAAAAGAGAAAAATGCAGAAAGGATACTCTGAAAATGAGATAAACAATATGATTTCTTATGATTACAAATCATTATTAAGATTTGATAGCCCGCTAATGTCTATACAGACGCAGATTCTATGGTTAAACTCCGGGTGGATGTTCCACAAGGCAAGCCTTAAATTCCGATGAACTGGCAAAACAAAAACATTCAAAACTGGTACACTTCTGATCAAGAAACTATAGTGTAAGAGGAATACGTTTACTGATTAATACAACCTATTTCTATAAAGATTCATCCTAAAGTCCAAAGTTTTTGTGAACATAGTTTTTTTCCCATGCTCTCCCACCCTCAAGTACGACCATAATAAGATCATCGGAACTCAAAAGTTCTCATCACAAGACCCTTACGGTATTGCACCTGGAAATACTATTAGCCACAGAAAGAAGGCAAATTTTTAACAGAAAAGTTCGATGAACATCTGTTAAAGTGGTGTGTTTGTACGTGTAAAGCAAAGAGACAAGTTGCATATTAAGCACAAGATAGAAATATTTGACTATCATTTCACTTCAAAGGCTCTCTGCAAGTTGATTCTCAAATTGGTTGAAATTTTCAAAAAGTTTGTAAACTTTAACAAAAAATGTAAAATTAGATTCCAGAAGATACAACCTTTCAGATCAAGGAAAAAACCTCTCTCTTCAAGCCAAATACAATATGCTCATTTAAAAAAGACTTTTAGGTCACGAGAGCATTTAAAACTCTTGTGTCAATTCAACACAATGCCACACAGCCAAACCATATTTCTGATGCAGCAAATATACTAATGTGACTGGAGTTATTTGATCTAAGCATTTTTGCAAAAAGTAGAAATTTCATTAAGATTTAAAAGGGCTACTGGGAGATTAGGGAAGTCAGCACTAACCCCTGACTCTTTCTGAACATCTCTGTGCAAATTCTTCACTTTAAGAGACGGGCTGTAAAAGAACTAACGAAATGAAAACTAACGGTTATCTCAGGATTTCGGAGTGTCAAGCCCTTACCCTATGACTGACTCATGAAACATAAAATTCAGCCTCTTGAGGACAGCAAAAATCTCAAACAGGCAGTGTGAAAGGAATGGACCTTTCAAAACCCCGTGGCTTTAAGTTTTAAATTTTGGCAATACGGTCACCACCGTATAAAAAGAATCGCCTTTCCAATTTGGCACGCCTAAGATATTCTTAGAATTATGTATCTCAGGCGCCGCTTGTAAGGTTCGTGGCCTCTAATAGTCATTTTTTCCTTCAAATCTCAGCTCGCAGCATGCAAAATGGGGGAGGGGAAGGAGGCTTCCTATACACATCATCCTTTCAGCTTCTGCTTCCCACAAAAGTTTTCTTGGCTCAGGTAACCCGGAGTTTGCATCCCGCCCTCTGCCCACCCCACCCCCTCATGCCTGTCCCGACCATCAACACATCCCACTCGTAGCTAGGCCAGCTGAGACAGGAGCGAGGCGGCTCCGGCAGGGAGAAGCGATGGAGCCGCGGGCGCCTCAGGCTGCCAGCCCAGCCTCGCCGCATGGAGCGGCGGGCGGAGGCGGGAAAAGCACTGCCCACAGAGGCAGGTTTTTTTTTCGGGCCGGCCCGCGGGCCGGGGGTCGGAGGAGCGGGGGTAAGATGAACTAGGGCGAAGAAGCGCCTCGGCGGGGCTAGGCCCTCAGCTGTGCGGCCGGACGAGAACGAGGCCGAAGCCGCCCCCAGCCCATCCCCACCCCCACCCCGGGGCCTTGGAGCGAAAATGAAACTGGGGACCCGGCGCCGAGCCCCGGCCGGGCCGAGTCGGGTCTGATCGGGGCTCCCTGCCCCTCCCCCCACGGGCCGGCGCGAGACTCACCCGGGCAGAGCAGGGGCCGACGGCCAGGCCCGTGAGAATCAGCGCGAGGCGCTTTGAAAACGACTAGAAATGGCGCGCGCGCCACCCCCTGCCCCCCCTCATGGACAGAGACGCGATCCCGGCAGCACGCGGGGTTTCCCGGAACTGCTTCCAGGGACTCTAAGTGGTCGGGCAATCACGTCGCGCGACAGCCTGAGGGGCAGCCCAGGCGACCAATGGGAGCGAGAAGAGGCGTGCCACACCGGACGATTTGGGAGCCAATCGATGAAGCCGTCGGCTGAGCCAATGAGAGAACTCAGCGCCAATGGCTGAGGCGCCTCCGGGGCGGGGGTAGGAACACAAAGGGGTCTGTGGCGAAGCCCGGAGTAGAGGCGAGGCTGCGGGGCATTAGGCCCTGAGGGGCGGAGACTCCTCCCTTCTTGCCTGCAGCCGAAGCGAGGTCGAAAACCTGGGCCTCGCGCCGCGTGGCCGTCTCCGGAACCCCGCCCCCTACGGTCCGCGTCGGCCTCGCGGCGGCCCTCCCGCCCCATCGCTGGTGCCGCAGCGTCCCTAATCTCCCTCTAACGACGCGGCCACCGGCGTCCGCCCCAGACACGCCCACCGCCACGCGGTCGGGCCTCCTAGGTCATCTTTGGGAATCTAATTAGAAAAAGATTAAAGGATGATTTGGCTGGTCATTTGGGGAATTTCATGGAGAAAATCATTCCTTGGAACTATCATAACACTCTCCCTCTCTGTCCCCCTGGCTCCCTTCTACATTTTGTTGGAAGCATCTCAATGTGAGAAAACTCAAGTGGTCAAGACTCGAGCAATGTTACGCACGAATGATAGAGCAGGGACCATTTTTCTCCGTAACAATGAAGCCAAAAGAGTCGTGCAGGGAAAAGGGCTAATCCCCAGAGGAGACTAATAGCCGTTATCTCTAAACTTGTTTCTCACTCTCCGCCCCTACTAGTTTTGTTCCTTGTCCTCACCTTAGTCCAAACCTGTCCCATCCCACAGCCCTTCCCTCCCTACTCTAACCACAGCTTCCAACGCCCCGCCCCTTTTAGGGAGTGGAGAAGGTCACGCAGTGGTCTGCGGGATTTCCAGATACAGTCAAACATCATTTGAATTTTTCAGACCCTATCAACCGAAAATTATTAAGTGAAAACCTACTACGTGCCCAGTACCAAGCTAAATGTCTCAGTGGATCCAAGTTTTGTATTGCGGGATGTGAAGCATACGAATGCTAGGTTCTTTAAGAAAAACATAAAATGATACGAAAATATAAATATAAAATGAATACAAATTTAGGAACAGTCTAGGCAGGACATGGTAAAAGTGAGGCACCTTGAAGCTTAAAATTTATTAACTTCTGGCTTAAGGGTTCTTAACCTATTTTGTGCTTTGTGACAGTTTGGTAAAAGGTATGGAAGGGTTTTAAAATAAAATACATAGCATTACAAATTTTATATTGAAATACAATTAGGAAACATATTTTTAAAACAAATTTGTGACATACTACTCTGTTTTTCTTTATGAACACTAAATGTCAGGATCTTGCGATGAGTCAAATAACTACTGAAATGTTAAAGCAATTAGAAGATATTTCAAGATATCCATAATAAATGTAACGTGAAATAAAAAAATGTCTGTGATTTCTATTGACAATGAAAGGTACTGCTAATTCTACTGTGGTTTGTTGCCTACATTTACAGTAGGGAAAAATGCTGAATTTCAGTTGAACATTAGTGAAAATAAAGATATCTTTTTTTTCATACCAATTGAAAGACTGTCTCTGAATTCCATTCAGAGACTCTTTTAAGTTCATTGGCTACAGGATAAGAAACCCTGGGCTGGATACTGTAATTAAAGCGATTCTATCACCCAATATTTTCCGGGATAATATTTAAAATATTTGACCGATAATATTTAAAATATTTCTGGGATAATATTTAAAATATTTGACATAGTCCTCATAAGTATACTCTACCGTGTCAGACCATATGTCTCGAATTTTTTATTTGAAAAATATAGTCATCTGAGCTTGCATTTCAAAATAAATTGTGTGTGTACTCATAAATTGAATATTCCTCAAATGTTTATGGCATGCTCTCTATAGACAAATCGCTGTGTTAAAAGTAGGGAATATGAAATGAATAAAATACAATATCCATCCTCAAAGAGCTTACATGCGAGCTGACAAGGCAGGCCAAATATACAAATAAACATAATAAAAATGAATTGTTAAGGAGACCTCCAGCTATATCCCTAATCTTCTGAGATAATACAGTGCAACCAAGACATTCCACAACTCTTCCCTGCCACACACCAAACCTGTGGTCTGAGCTGGTATGTCAATGAACGTGCTTTCGCTTCTTGAAACAATTACAGGGCACTGGAATATTCCAATTGAAACTTTGACTTTTACTATTTATGACTTAAAGTGAACAGAGAATGTTTTAAATTTTCAAACCTTCTTACTGGATCCTAGATTCATCTTAGTCATGCTTGTCCCTTAGCCTATTCCTCAGACTCCAAACAAGATTACATCAATTCAGTCTTTTCAAAATGCCTTCACTTGCCACTAACAAGGATAAACCACCTCAACCACAATTCAAAAGCACAGACAGGAGCAAGGGAAAAAGGAAACAATGTAGAAAGGAAGAAAGAGGAGAAAGAAATGGAAAATGAAGAAATACCACGTGTAGAATGTTAGTGGAAAAAAAGGGAACCAACAACCAACCAACTCCTGCTGACATTTAGGTACCAAGAGCCCTCTACTCAGCTTAAATTGAAATCTTCAGTTCTACCTTGAATTGTCTCATCGTCAAATAGAACCATTTATTTTCTTCATCAAACTTTAATAATTTTTATTATTTTAAAGCACTTTGCAAAACGGTGGTGTTCCAATCAAGGTTGACCAGAGCTGAAGGGTGTTTGTCTTTCATTTAAAAAATAAGGTGCCATGTGGCTGACTTACAATAGCTTGTAGTCAACTTATCTTAAGACCTTATCGCTCACCTGCTTTATTGTAATTTTTCTGGCATTTTTTTTCTTTTGAAGATTATTCTTGGGCTGGCTTGTTGAATTCTCTTCTAATTCTGAAATTCATCAAAGCTGTTTTAAAATAGAAAGAAAATGTATTTCCATCTTAGTGGCACACCATTTTAAACAACAATTACTGCCACTTTTGGAGCTCCTACTGTGTCAAGTGTTTTAGAAATACTATTGCTGATCCTTACGTGAAACCTTAAAGGTTAGTAATATTATCAGTATATTGAAGAAACAGGCTCAGAGAGGTTAAAACATTTTTTCGAAGCCACATAGCTGAACCAACTTCACTAAGCTACTTTTCAATTAAAGTCTCAGCATTGGCAGATTCTTCACTTGTAGAGGTACATATTTTTACTAGTCAAAAATTATAATAGTCAATCTGATGAATAAGTTAGAAAATACTACTTAGGATCCAAAGCAAACTGTAATATAAGATAATAACATTTGCTCATGTAGTTTGCAAATTGGCTTCTAAATTAAATTCGAGCTTGTTCTGAGAAATGATATTTCTAAGAACAACACTGTGGCCTCACAAGATTAGAGCACTGGGGAGGAATAGTCTTTTGGGTAGGTCTGATAGAAAAGAAAATGTCTCATAAAGATTTACCTATAATGACTTCATAATACTACTTAACACTTGTCAAGCACTTACCATGTTATCTTACTTAATGCTCACAACAATACATAAGGCAAAGTACCAAAAAGTATCATCTCCCTTTCACAAATGAAGAAACTAAGGCCCAAGTCAGAGCTGAGTCAAACTCTGGTGTAACTCCAAATTCCAATCTCTTAATCATTATGCTGCACAGCCAGAGGAGATGAGTCAAAACCAATAATATTAAACCTCCCTCTTTTTAAGCCTTCACATTTCCGAACTTGATGTTGGTTGTCTCTGAATGTGAAATTCTTTTTGTCCTTAATTTTTTTTTTTCATGAGTTTTCTGTTCTCCTTGGGTTCTGTTAAGGGACTATGGAAAAAGTGAAAAAAGAAAGATAACAAAGTGAGCTCTCCTTTCAACAGCTTTCCACTTCCCCAATCAAACTCAAGAAAGCAAGAGTTAAGTTTCAAGTCTAATTAGGATTGTTAAATCCAATTTAAGGGTGATAAACACTTAGCCTCCTGAAAGAATTTAACACATCATTCTTCCCTTGGAAACAGCAGGATTCCCTGGCGACTCACCACCAGGACTTTGATGCATCTACTCACTGACACTGAACCTTGCAGTCATTTAAAGTCAAATTCTAGGAGACTACTGAACATAATATTTGGTCCATCGAGTTCTAATTATTTTAAGGCTTCCCTCCAGGCAGGCAGAAGAGAGCTATGTGTGGAAAATCGTCTATGGAAGTGTTACTGTAAGCTTTTAACCAAAATCCAGCAGAATTCTAAGGTAAGTATTATTACCCATGTTCAAATATACAAGTTAATATACCATTACACAAATAAGGTTTAACAGATCACGAGTCCTGCTCCCTCAGTATAGCTGATGTGTTTGTTTATAAAAAATAATAAAATGTTAAGGATTGTAAATAGTCTGTGTATATAACTAAATTCTCATTACCCTTAAGCTAAAATATCCATTTGAAGAGGGCACGTGCTCTCTAATTATAATTAATAACAATAATATAATGCCTTGTACTTAGTTTTTCCATTTATAAGGAGTTTCAAATATAGCATCTTCAAATATAGACATCTTTGCTACATTTGGACATCTTGAAATGTGCCACATCCTTGGCCCTGTGACTCTCCTCTCCTAATTCTTCTCTGGGTTCTATAATACGAGGGTCCTCAACCCCCATGCCACAGACCAGTAGCAGTCCGTGGCCTGTTAGGAATCAGGCCGCACAGCAAGAAGTGAGTGGCAGGTGACAAAGCAAGGCTTCATCTGTATTTGCAGCCACTCCCCAGCGCTACCATCACCGTCTCAGCTCCACCTCAGATCATCAGGCATTAGATTCTCATAGGAGCACTAGTCTCTGGTGCCAAAAAGGTTGGGGACCGCTGCTGTAATATTTCCTTTTGGTCCTCTCCTCTGTCCATTGTTACCCATTGGTGGTTCCAGGATTTCATCCTTGACGCTGTTTTCACTTTCTATCAGGACCACCCCTTTACTTGC